TCAGCTTCCTCTGCTGTGAAATGGGGTGGCAGCCCCTCCTCAGGACTACCCTGAGGATAAAGGATCTCTAAGAGCGGAGTGCTAACCAGGATGCAGCCACACGGTTAAGTGCTCCAAGAATGGTGACTTAGAAACAAGCCAGGGCCTGCCCTCAGACTCTCTGCCCAGCGCTCCAGGCACAGCCCGCGGCGGTGGCACGGTGCCTCCAGTGGGACCAAAGTCTTGGGCCCGGATGCTGCTGTTGTTTATGAGCCCGCCCGGCTCCGGGCCGGGTGGTATCTGGGTTGCCAGGTGGGTGGGTGGATGGGGCGAGGTGGGTCAGGGCCCTGGGACAGAGCTGCTGTGCCCCTTCCTGTTTGGCCAGCAGTTAATCTACACAATGCCATTCCGGTTCCACATGCCTGTCCAGCCTGTCACCTGCCCTCTGACTCTCCTCCATCTCCATCTGTGGCTGCAGAGGGTCCTGCAGGCTCTGGGTTCTCGGATCAGCCAGACCACGCCTTCCCCGTTTGGCACGGGAGTCATCTGGGCCTCAGAGAGGGGCTGGCACAGGGACACACGGAGTGTCGGGGACTGGATGGCCCCATCCCTCCCTGATTCCTGGGGACTACCTCCTGGCACAGGGTCCCCAAGAACATGGCAGGATGAGCCCACCACGGCCCTGACACACTGTCCCCCACAGGTGGCCTGAGTGTGGATGACTTCCGGAAGGTGCTGATGAAGACGGGGCTGGTGCTGGTGGTGCTGGGCCACATGAGTTTCATCGTGGCCGCCTTGCTCCACGGCACCGTGCTGCGCTACGTGGCTGCCCCCCACGACGCCGCGGCTCTGCAGTACTGCGTGGTCAACATCCTCTCGGTCACCTCTGCCATCCTGGTAGGCCCAGGCCGGGCAGGGCTGGCGGGGCTGGCGGGGGCCGGAAAGGTTCTCGATGAGTCTCCACCCAGAGTCGGGGATGGGCCAGTAGAGGGCCCACACACTAACCCTGCTCCACTTACCAACGGCACGAGCCACCCCAGCTCCCTTTACCTCAGCTTCCTCATCTATAAAGTGGGGATCGGAACAGTGGCCACCACAGAGGGTCCTGGTGAGCACTAGACGGGATCATCCACTAAAGTGCTTGGCACAGTGTCTGCCACATGCTCAGCCTCACTGCTGTGAGCTGGGATGATGAGTATAGTGGGCAACAGGCAAGACGCCACTGGACAGAAGGAAGGAGCAGCCGCTCTGCTGGAGAAGGCTCAGGAGGGTTCACCGAGGTAGCAGCCCCTGAGCTGGGCACTGATGGCTGAGTAGGAATTCCAGGATAGGGTGCAATTACCATAGCCCAGGTGTGTGGCCAACAGGTAGTAGAGGAAGCTGGGATAGCATTCCAAGCACAGAGAATGGCAGATGCAAAGGTATGGAAGTGGGACTAGCTCAGGTCTGTTCTGGAGACACTGAAAAAACAATGTTTCGGAAGCTGAGCATGAGGCCTGGTCTACATAAGTACTGAATAAATGGTAGCCACGGTTATGCCTAGGTGTCAGGACCTGCTTGATGAATACATGAATGAAGGAGACCGGTATTCTCAAGTGCATGAAGTTCTTTCCCACCTAGCCACAGAGGTGGCCACAGCCCTTTGGGCAACGTCCACATGTCAGCGTCAGGTCCTTCCCTGCCACCTCCTGGCTAAGGGACTTATTTTTCCCTGTCAGCCTGTTCCCTCCCCTGCATAACGAAGCTAGGCCAGCCCAGCAAGGAACGCCTCCGTCAGTGGGACAGGCTGAGCCATGGCGATGTGTGCGGTGCTTTGGCGTTATTATTACTGTTGTGTTTTCCTCTCACCAGCCTGGATAGAAGGCAAGGAAGGCCGTGAGCTCAGGGTTGTGGGCTCCAGGATGGACCACTTCCACTTTACCCTCATTTCCTCATTTAATTCTCACTGTTCTCAGCAACATGGGGCCATTATTATCCCGACAGGGGGAAACCTCTCAGGTGCTCACCCAGCCTACTGCTGAAGCAAAGAGGCCAGGCTGGATTTGACACAATGTGTCTGACACCAAAGCCAGTGTCTTTTCCATAAGCTCATCCTGCAGAGCAGAACTTAGCCCAGAGAGGTTGAGGCACCTACTCATGGCTGCACAGTGAGTTGCAGACATTGCTGGACTCCTGTTATACCACCCGCCTCGTATGGGTGCAGCCCATGCCTGATGCAGTCAGTGAGGGGGCTCAGGAAGGAAGCCTGGCTGAGTGGAGCCCCGAAGAGCCAGGGGGCAGCTGGTCGGTTAAACAGTCAACTCCTGGGGCTGAGAGGCGCTGGGCGGACAGCATCATGAGCAGACTGTGTGTGGGTGTCTCCATCCAGGGCAATGAGGAAGAGGCTTGGCAGGGTGGGGCTGAGATGCTGCCGGGACTGAGGCCAGGTCGCTGAGAGCTTGAGATAACGTGCTCCTAAGATTTTGAATTCTCCATAAAGTGTCCTGATTTGTTTATTTTGTGTTTAGTTCCTTGACAGCGAGTTACTTAGTTTCTTCCCAAATCTCTTCCACTCCAGGGAGGCAAGTCATACATACCCTGGTACATGCCGCTGCGGCCCTGGGATACACGGGTCCCTGTTGGAGCCACACAGCTATGGGCAGTGGGGAGCCATGGAAGGTTGTAGGCAGGAAGTGACTGTGCTTTAGAAGCATCACTTGGGGGCTGGACCATGAGGGGGCAGTGCCTCCATGCAGGTCAAAGTAATGAAGCTAAGGCAAAGCAGGGGGGAGGAGGCGGCTTGGGGGCTCCAGTTGGCATTGGCGGAATCCTTCTCTGAGAGGGGCCCTGACCCCACTGCCCGCTCTCCGCCAGCAGGAGGGTCAGGGCTGACTTGAGTCTCCCCACAGGTCATCACCTCGGGCATCGCAGCCATTGTGTTGTCACGCTACCTCCCCAGCATCCCTCTGGTATGTGGCACCTCCTGGAATGGGGCTTTGGGGAAAGAAGGGCCTGGCCTGCTGGGAGGGGGTGAGCTGACCCCATGGAGACCAGAACTGCCCATGTGGGGTGGAGCCTGATAGCCACTGACCAGTGGTCTCTCCTATCCAGCGCTGGGCAGTATTTAGTTCAAGTGTGGCCTGTGCCCTTCTCTCTCTGACCTGTGCTCTCGGACTCTTGGCCTCGATCGCTGTGACCTTTGCCACCCAGGGCCGGGCACTGCTGGCCGCCTGCACTTTTGAGAGCCCCGAACTACTGGCCCTGGCACCCGACTGTCCCTTCGACCCCACACGCATTTATGTGAGTGCTTAGGCCTGGGATGGGGTGGGGAGTGGGGGGCCAATCAAGTGCTCATCAGAGGTGGGGAGGGTTCTTGGAGCCTTGCCCGCCCACCCCCAACCCTGTGGCCATCTCTGCCC